TTCTCTAGAGTAGCAGAACGTATAGAATGAAACTCCCAACCCCTCTCTCTCCCTCGCAGTCTCTATATGGAATTAATTTATATATATTTATAAATACAAATGTTTATATTTATTTATTATATTATATATATGGCATTTATTAGAACTATTTACAGATTGTGATCTAAGTAGTTCAACAATGGCTGCCTATGTATGACCAGAGAGTCCAAAAATACTGACGTTGCTCAGTCCATGAGGTTTGATATCTCAGGTAGACTTCAGTAGACTCTAGAATCAGGAATAAGTAGGCTCTAATGCCAGTGAAGGAATGGACTGGTTAGCAAGGCAAGAGCAGAAGACAAACAGCCAAAGCTTCCCTCTTCCATGTCCTTATATAGACTTCCAGCAGAAGGTATAGCCCAGATTAAAGGTGTGTCTTCCTGTCTCAAGAACCAGATTCCAATCTTCCTACTACCAATTAAGTAAAATATTCCTTACTGTTGTACTTTCCATGTTTGAATTTCAGTTAATTCCAGATATAGTCAAGTTGGTAACCAACAATAACCATCACACCAAGAAAACCATATACCTGAGACTTGTTGGAGTTTTCATTCTTGACCAGCAGCAAAATCCATGTGACAGGGAGGCAGCTCTGGAGGCTGAACCACCGTCCATCAAGTCTCAGAGTACCATGGTGATCATCAGGCCTTGTGCTCTGTTGCCTGCACTTGTCAGTGGGTTCTTTATACTAATGCCACCAAAAGTAAGGTAGGATGTTCTCAGATTCCCTGAGATACTGTGACCAAATGTACCCAGGTACACCAAGTTATGATTATCCCCTCTGTCTGGAACAGTAGGCTCACTCTCAACTTGACACCATCTTAAAACAGCATTCTAAGAAATGTGTAATAACAATGTAGACCTGACAATGTAGACCAGTTAAACTCTCGTTATTTGAAGATGATATGATAGTGTACATAAGCAACCCCAAAAACTCTACCAAAGAACTCCTACAGCTGATAAACACCTTTAGTAATGTGGCAGGGTACAAGATCAACTCCAAAAAATCAGTTGCCCTCCTATACACAAAGGATAAAGAAGCAGGGAGGGAAATCAGAGAAACTTCACCTTTCACGATAGCCACAAATAGCATAAAATATCTTGGGATAACTCTAACCAAGGAAGTGAAAGACCTATTTGACAAGAACTTTAAGTCTTTGAAGAAAGAAATTGAGGAGGATACCAGAAAATGGAAAGATCTCCGCTGCTCTTGGATTGGGAGGATCAACATAGTTAAAATGGCAATTCTACCAAAAGCAATCTATAGATTCAATGCAATCCCCATCAAAATCCCATCAAACTTCTTCACAGACCTTGAGAGAACAATAATCAAGTTTATATGGAAAAACAAAAAAAAACCAGGATAGCCAAAACAATCTCATACAATAAAGGAACTTCTGGAGGTATAACCATCCCTGACTTCAAACTCTATTACAGAGCTACAGTATTGAAAACAGCTTGGTATTGGCATACCATTCTTGGTATGGAATCGAATAGAAGATCCGGATATTAACTCACAAACCTATGAACACTTGATTTTTGACAAGGGAGCTAAAGGTATGCAATGGAAGAAGGAAAGCATCTTTAACAAATGGTGCTGGCATAACTGGATGTCAACCTGTAGAAGAATGAAAGTAGATCCATATCTATCACCATGCACAAAACTCAAGTCCAAATGGATTAAAGACATCAACATTAATCTGTCCACTTTGAACCAGAGAGAAGAGAAAGTGGGAAGTAGTCTATAAGACATAGGCACAGGAGACCACTTCCTAGGTAGAACCCCAGTAGCACAGACAATAAGAGAATCAATGAATAAATGGGACCTCCTGAAACTGAGAAGCTTCTGTAAAGCAAAGGACACCGTCAGTAAGACAAAAAGGCTACCTTCTGACTGGGAGAAGATCTTCACCAACCCCTCATCAGATAAAGGCCTGATCTCCAAAATATACAAAGAACTCAAGAAACTAGACACTAAAACTCTAATTAACCCAATTAAAAAATGGGGTACTGATCTGAACAGAGAATTCTCAACAGAAGAACTTCGAATGGCCAAAAGACACTTAAGGTCATGCTCAACCTCCTTAGCGATCAGGGAAATTCAAATCAAAACAACTATGAGATACTGTTTTACACCGGTCAGATTAGCTAAACTCAAAAACACCAATGATAGCCTATGCTGGAGAGGATGTGGAGAGAGGGGAACACTCATCCATTGTTGGTGGGAATGCAAACTTGTGCAGCCACTGTGGAAATCAGTGTGGTGGTTTCTCAGGAAACTGGGAGTCAACCTCTCTCAGGACCCAGCAATTCCACTCTTGGGAATATACCCAAGAGATGGCCTATCATACCCCAAAAACATTTGTTCAACTATGTTCATAGCAGCACTATTTGTAATAGCCAGAACCTGGAAACAACCTACGTGCCCCTCAATAGAAGAATGGTTAAAGAAGGTGTGGAACATATATACATTAGAGTTTTACTCAGCGGTAAAAAACAATGACATCTTGAATTTTGCATGTAAATGGATGGAAATAGAAAACGCTTTACTGAGTGAGACCCAGACCCAAAAAGAGGAATATGGTATGTACTCACTCATAAGTGGATTCTAGACATAATTAAAGGTCTTTGAAACAGTTGACTCTTAAAGTAGTAAAAAAATATTGAAGAACGAGGGACTTTAAGAAGTGGGACTGTGATGTATAGTATATTAACACCAGATGTTGTGTACAAAGAATGAATAGTTAGAGTCCAAAGTGGTGAGTTCAAGTGCCAAGGGGATAGGGTGTCCTAACTGGCTTTCATTGTCAACATGACACAAGCCCACAGTCACTGAGAGAAAAGCCTTGACTGAGAACATGCTTAGGTCACACTGGACTGTGAACACTTCTGTGAGTGATTTCCATAATTATTGATTCATTTAGGAGGGCACAGCTAATGGTGTGGAGACCATCTCTAGTCAGATGGTCCCGGGCTATATAAGAAAGTTAGCTAAATAAACCTGTGAATGAGAGACAGCAAAGATCCTTCCTTCATTGTTCCTGCCTCCCAGTTCTTACCTTGAGCTCTTGCCTTGTGACGGACTGTGACCAGGAAGTATAAATCCTTCCTTTCCCAAGTTTTCAGTTATGGTGATTGTAATAGTACCATCAAAGAAATAAATACACAATCTGCTCAACTCTCCAGCACATCCCAGCCACTGATTCAAGGACTACAAGAACTACAGTGTTATATGATGTGCACAGCTAATCCTTTGTCATTGGGTGGCCTAGTGCACCTTGTAGTTGTGACTTCTGATTCACCTGTAGTAGGAGTTGGGTTTGGAGCTGTGAAATATTTCCGAATATCTGCTGCAGAGTTTGGTGATTAATTCGATTGTTACAATGATTAGATTAAGAAATACCTATAGCAGGGACCAGAGAAATGACTCAGTCGTTAGGAGCACTTGCTGACCTCTGAATTAGTCACATTTCTTCTGCTCTGATAAAACACCACGACCAAGACAACTGACAGAAGAGCGGTTTTACAGCTCCAGAGGGATAACAGGCCATGCTGGCAGAGCAACAGAAAGCTGGAGCGGCAGCCAAGATTTCAAATCTCAAAATGCAAACAGGAAGCAGAGAGAGCAACTGAGGTGAGCTTGTGGCTTTTAAAACCTCAAAGTCCATTGACAAATGTCCTCCAGCAAGGTCACGTCTGATCATCCGCCACCCAAAAAAGTTTGATGAAGTACTGAAATGCCTGAGCCTTATAGGAGGCATCTCGTTAAACTATCACCATCTCCTAGAGATTCCAAGTTTGGTTCCTAGCACCCCTGTCTATGTGACTCATGACTATGTAACTCCAGTTCTAGATCTGATGCCCTCTTTTGGGCTCCCTGGGTACCCCAAACATAAATAAAAATAAATATAAAGAAAAATTTAAAAAAAATACCCAGAACATGAATGAGGCACACCCTTAGATGTGTCGATGATGATGTCTCAGAGGAGACGGACTGAGAGGGGAAGATCTGCCCCAGATGTGGCTGGTACTATCCATAGGTTGGAATCCCCAAGTAAATAAACAACGGAAAAGGAGAAACCCAACTGAGTTTCAGTGTTACCCTTTCTCTGCTTCCTATCCCACTGAGATCTCAAAAGGAAGTTTGCCACTTTCCTGCCAAGAAAGAGCCACCTGCTGCCATGTCTTCCTCACTATGATTTGGGCTGCATCTCCTCCGATCATAACCCTTAAATTGTTGCATATCAGATATTTGATTCCAGAGATGAGAAAATTAACAAATACAGTAACCTCTTCAATGCCACTCAGATCTCCTAGAGCCTCTTTTATGAATCCAGAAGCTCTCCCTTTCTTACCTTGTTTACCCTCACTCTTCTCATCCATTCATCGAGTGACACAGAGAAAGCTTCTCTAGCATTCCCTTCCAAAGGCAGTAGTGACCTAAAGACCTTCCATGGAGCTCCATTTCACAAACATCCTACATTTTCCTACACAACCACCCAAAGGACCAAGTTCTTAGCACATGAACCTCTAAGGAAACACATTTTAATGATATCCAAACCACTGCATTGCAGAGTTCCTCATGAACTGAGGATTTCTTGAGGATTTCTCAGTGAGCATTCAGTGGATAAGCATTTGAGGAAGCCTTGGCTAATACTGTTTTATCAAGATCAGAGGGTTTCCTGGTCACTTTCCTAGCATTCGTGTGTAACATTGAATTAGTAGATTGTTTTTAATAAAGGAGAGATGGTAAACATATCAAAAAGTGAAGAAGGCATTTGAGTAGGAAGAGTAGTTGGGGAAGAAGATGGAGAAAGGAGAGAAGGAAACGAGCAAGAAAAGAAATAGTGGACAGTTACTGTCCAGGGTGAGTTCACACAGCGGACCTTGAGACCAACCTATGGAACAAGCATTACTGCTTGCCTAGGAGAGAAAAAAACCACTCCACTTGGAGGAATGTGAGAACCCACTGAAAGTCTTCCTGCAGTGACTCAGCAGGAATCCAAATATAGAGCGTCTAATGTCAAATTCATGTTCTTGCCATTACATCATACCACTAGAGAAAGCAGACACATGAGAAGGAAAATGGAAACACTGTTGAAAACGATGTCAAAGCATTAAAGATGGATCTGAGATTACAGTTTTAACATCTGACTTTGACCCATTTTCTCAAGCCCTTTTCCATATGACACAATTTATTGCATAAGCAAGCAATAAATTATTTATTCTTAATGTTGAATGTCATAGTTCTATTACATGACTGCATATTTTCAATAGCCAACCTTAATTATAGATGAGTGATAAGTTATAGCATATTTAAGGTATGCAATTTAATTTTAAACTCACTTAAGAATATTACTATGCAAAGTAGGAGTTACAACATCAGATAAAACTATAATGAACTATGTTGACCCCATGAAGGACACACATCCATTGTTGACACCAAGCAACATGGGTTGATCAGATCACAGTCAATAACAACACAGCCTCATGTTTCAAATTAGTGGAGGCACTTCTGGGTTATCATCAAATTCAGGATCTTCCATAGTGGGTACAACTTGGGCTTGAGAGTCTATTCTTTTGAGTTTATGTTTTTTCTCTTGTACTATTGTAGTCACATCAGGGCAGGAATGCTTGCTGGGATCGACTTCTAATCTTTCTGTCTGCTTTTTTCTACAACAGAAAAAGGCAAGGGAATTAGTATTATTATTACATTGCTTAAAATTAAGGTTCAAAAAAATTAAACTCATTTACTCACTCAGTGAATACTTAGCAAATGCCATCTATGTGGCATGGCATAGGCCAGTGGTTCTCAATCTTCCTAATGCTGTGACTTTAATAGAGTTCTTCACATTGTGGTGACCTCCAAACATAAAATTATTTTTGTTGCTACTTCCTAACTGTTATTTTACTACTGTTATGAATTATAATGTAAATACATGATATGCAGGATATCTGACATGTGACCTCTGTGAAAGGATTGTTCAACCTCCAAAGAAGTCAAAATCCATATGTTGAGGACTTCTGCCATAGAGGGTAAGAAAATGCTGTCCCTGGCTTCAATGATTAGGGAGATTTCTAGAAACGATATTTTAACCCATTGAAGAATAAAGAACCTAACAGGCTGTGCTGCTATACAGACAGTAGGAGGTGAGGAACTTGAGAAAACTTGTTTCCTCAGAAATTAAGATGATCCAACCAGCAGGGTGACACAGCCAGGATCAACAGGACACTAGTCAAGTTTAATCCCAGACTGCAGCTGCCTGGGTTTTGTTCTGGTGGGGATGTTTAGACAACAAACTCAGGTACACAACAAAGCTCAATCCACAGCTTCTACTCCCACTGCCCATGCCTAGTTCTTAGAGGCAGTATAGCTGCGAAGGACCAGCAAGAAACTCCTTTGCCACAGGCTCCCAATGCTGTGCTCACGGAGGAACTGTGTGCACCATGCACATTCCTGTGTTGTGCTCATGGGGGAACTGTGTGCACGATGCACAATGCTGTGCTGTGCACACGGAGGAGCTGTGCACATGATGCACATTCCTGTGCTGTGCACACGGAGGAGCTATGTGCACGATGAACATTCCTGTGTTGTGCTTGCTCATGGAGGAACTGTGTGCATCATGCACATCCCTGTGCTGTGCTCACAGAGGAACTGTGTGCATGAAGCACATTCCTGTGCTGTGCTTGCTCATGGAGGAACTGTGTGCATGATGCACAATCCTGTGCTGTGCTTGCTCATGGAGGAACTGTGTGCATGATGCACCATCCTGTGCTGTGGTCACGGAGGAACTGTGTGCATGATGCACAATCCTGTGTTGTGCACACGGAGGAGCTGTGTACATGATAAACATTCTTGTGCTTTGCTTTTGGAGGGAAATGAGTGCATGACTCACTTTCCTGGGCTGTTTTCACAGTAATTTTTCTTTGTTGCACTTGGACTCCAGACCACTGATCTTCACCTTTCTAACTTTCCCAGTTTTGCTTCAAGCACCCAGACACATTCTACAACCACTGCATCACTCATTCATTCATTCATTCATTCATTCTCTCTACAGACACATGTCCAATACCTCCATATTCCTGACATAACAGCGGAAACTGAGGACACCCAGTCTGTATAAAAGGACAGATTTCTGGCAATGACTAGTGCAGTACAATGCACAGACACAGAATGTATTACAGCACTGTGGAATTCTATCATACTGTTCTGTTTTCATACAATGCTGGCATATTCAAGACAGAGATTTTGTATTTTTAATTTTTTCCTTGACATACAGTAATATTTAACAAATGTTTACTCTGTAAGTGAAAGGTATTATCCTTAATTGGAAAAATAATGAATTTCTGTGAGGAACTGATCAATTTTTGTAGGAGTTACAAAGTGATGTCCTCAGGTGACATGCGCCTAGCAGATGCTGTCTGCCACAAAGAGAAAACTGTGTCCCTGGGAAAGTAGAGATTCTCTGTTGTACTTGAGATCCCCCTCTTCATCGCTGAGATTCCCCCTCCTCATCGCTGAGATCCCCCTCTTCATCGCTGAGATTCCCCCTTCTCATCGCTGAGATCTCCCTCCTCACTGCTGAGATACCCCTCCAATGCTGAGATCCTCCTCCTCATCGCTGAGATCTCCTTTCTCATTGCTGAGATCTCCCTCCTCGTTGCTGAGATCCCCCTCCATCGCTGAGATCCCCCTCCATTGCTGAGATCTCCTTTCTCATTGCTGAGATCCTCCTCCTCACTGCTGAGATCCCCCTCCATTGCTGAGATCCTGCTCTTCATTTCTTGCTTCTGCTCAGCTCTTCAAGGCATTTGGGTTAATTCCTCTCAGTGTTCTGAGTAATGCACATAGACTTGTTGAGGGAGAACAATAAGAACAAAGAGATTATAAAATAGTGCAGCTTGTTTATTCTAAATGAACTCTGTATGCTATAGGAAAAGAGAAGAGACCAGAATGAACTGTGCCTTCACTGAAGTAGGGACTGAGATAGGTCAGAAGACAAGGAAACTGGTACTGAGATAAACGACCAGCGCAGAAGAACAAGACCTGGGCACCCTGTCTCCCTTGATCTGATCATAGATAAAAAGACCTGCAAGGCTGGGACTTAGCTGCAAGCCATGTCTCTATAGTGACATGAAACTTTTCTTGGAAGTAAGGCTGCTCACTCTGCCAGCAGCATATGTAAGTAGTATGGTGTGTGTTTTTCTTCTGGGAGTAGAATTCTGGCATGTTCTAGCCCCTAGTGAAAAGACTAAAGCACCAAGCCTCTAATGAACCTGCCTAATGCAGCTTATTAGTGTTTCTCTGCTGAAGAAGTTACATGTTCTGTGTCACTCTAGAGGAGAGGACCTTTAAAAGCCCCATTATCTTCAGACTTGCCCTTGACTAATATTGTTTTGTTTTGTTCCTGTAATAAATATTACCCACAAGTGTGCCTGTGCTGAGTCCTGTATGCTAACAGACCATTGAGCCTGGGGTCCTCATGGAGATGCCAGACATTGCATGCAGATATACCTTTTATTACTTCCTTTAAATCCCCAGGGTGATGTGGGAGTCCCCTCTGTGTATTGCTTGTATTGGTTAATGAATAAAGAAACTGCCTTGGCCTAATAGGAAAGAACTTAGGTAGGCAGAGAAGACAGAACTGAATTCTGGGAGGAAGAAAGCAGTTAGTGGAATACCATGGAACTGCCAGAGACAGACATGCCAAATCTTTCCCGGTAAGCCACTGCCACATGGTGATATACAGATTAATAGAAATGGGTTAAATTAAGATGTAAGAATTACCCAATAAGAAACTAGAGCTAATGGATCAAGCAGTGATTCAATCGATACAATTTTTGTGTGGTTATTTTGGGGCTAAGTTAGCCAGGCGGCCAGGACAAACAAGCAGGCCCTCCTGCAACATCAGGTAACCTTTACTGCACCTCCTTCTGAAGCCGAAGAACAGGAGGATGTCAGTCAAAGCCTCAGAGATAAACAATCAATGCTGAGGAGCAAGGCTGGGTTGATGACAATAACTCATATAAACTGTCACTCAGAAAATAACCATATACAGCACAGACACAAGGCTGGGTTGATGACATGAGCCCACATAAACCATCACTCAGAGAAAAGAACCATATACAGCACAGACAGTAGCTTTTTCACCCTTGGACTTTTATGCTAAACATTCCATCAAAAAGCCTCCAAATCAGTGCTAATCCGACTGTCATCTCACTGACTTCTTAGTCATCTCTGGTTACTAGCTACTAAGCTATAGCTCTAGAGTGAGGGGCCCAGCCATTATGCCTCAGTGGATTTATCATTAAAACTAGAATGATGACAACCACATGTGGATACTGTCCAGACCAAATTAGTTCACAGAAGTGAAGGAGAGGACAGAGTACCAGGAACTCAGCAGACACTCAGTGAGGGTGGGATCCGTGCAGAAAAGAGAGCATAGGTCAAGGACATTACTCCAAGGGTAAGAGCCAGTCATTTAGTTCAGTGTGCTTTTCATTACACCTCTTTCGGCTGCCTTGTGCTATGATCAGTACTAGGAATTTAAAACTAAGACATGACTTGTGTCCACAATCTAAGGAAGAAGGCACAGATAACACACACTCAACTGCCATGCCCCAGGCTGCTTGGCAAGATCTCTGGTATTGACATCATAAAGGCTGTTGAAATGCCAAGGAGGCAACAGCAAATGTGTGGATGTTGGGAGTTATGGAGGAAAGGGCATTGATGCTTTGTGAAACTACGTTTGTAATTAGTATACAAAGTAATGGGCTTCACTGTGACGTTTTCAGACACATACATCATTATACTATGTTCTCATTTGACCCCTCTTTCCCTTCCCCATCCCTCTGACCCACTTTTGACTGATTCTCATCCACTCACCAGTCTTTCTTTCTGCTTCATGTCACATAGAATTACTTTTTCTTCTTTCATGTCACACACACACACACACACACACACACACACACACACCAAGTAAGTGCACACCTTATTTATCTTAGCCTGAATTCTTTCTATGATTTCAATTTCTATAAATGTTCCTACAATTGTCACTCTTTCATGGCTTCTTGCAAATAAAGAAAATTCATCCATCCATCTATCTATCTATCTATCTATCTATCTATCTATCTATCTATTCTTATTTTACATATCAATCTCACAAGACACAAGAACAGCCAAATCCTCTTCAAGAAGGTGAGACAACCTTTTTCTTAAGTTATAAGGACTTATTATAAAGCTATGAAAATCAAGCAAGAATCCAGACCTTCACATTCAGATGCATGATTTGTGACACAGGGGTCTTGATGACCAACATTTTAGAGCCAGTGAAACATAAAAAAAAATCACTCCTTAAACAAAACTCAATTCCTGATAGAAAGCACCCAAACAGAAAAGGCAAGCATACAAAACTCTAAAACAGGATAAGATTCCTAGAGTAAGGCAAAGAAAGCGTCAGTCATAGAACTATTGCTAACTTCAATTCAGGGTGTTAGGTCATGACTACACTATACAATATAAAGGATAATCCCAAAGCATCACAGTTCTGGATCCATCTCTCACTCATTCTGTGATATTCAACTTCTGTGCATCTCAGTAAGAAAGGCTTTTTTCCATGCCAAGTTATTTTGATAATGAAAGATAGTTTGTTTTGTCTAGGATCTCAGCAACTGCATCATAAATATTTTCACTTTTGAGGACCCTGCACGTTTCCCTTTGCATCACAGTATGAAGAGCCACATTCATTCACCAGGTGCTTCCCTCCAGCCATGAGGGATAAACCATCCCTTCTTCCTCCTCTACCTGCTCCATCTGCTCAGCTTGAGAAGCAGACTGATCCAGTTAGGAGAAGGTGGAGGACTCTTTCAGTCCTCCCAGATTCCTGTTATATTGCTATCCCTCTTCTACAAAGACCAACAAGCAACCCAAACTCAGTCTCCATGCACACCTTTAATAGACGACTTTAGTTAATGGAGTTGCCCAGCCCAAAAGCAGTATACATAAAGAAGGGCTAAAGTATACATTGAAGTTTTTCAGGGATGAAGGAGCTCCACAGACAGCCTCCACACGAGCCCTGGGTGTGGGGTTAGGAGGTGAGCTTTCTCCACAATGAAACTGAGAAAGAAATCATTTGTGGATGTACTGTGCTAAGACTTCTCCAACTGCCAAATCTAATCATAGCAATGACAGTCTTTCTGAGGTCTGATAATGACCTCTAAACTACAGTGGTTTGCCTTCCTATCCTGTAATCCTTCGCAAATTAGCTCAGATTGTTTACATGGCTTGAGGGTGTTGGGGTTAATTATGACTCTAATAGTCACATAAGTCGTGATACCCCAGGATCTTGAATCTGTAGTAAAATTCACTAGGTTGACTTTCCAAGGTTAAAACAGCAAAATGGTTTTCAGGAGAAATTCAATTTCGTACCTGTTCTTCACGCAAATTCCATGTTTAAAAATCTCTCTAAAACCTCAATGGTCACCTTTGGCTATACACATGGTCAAGGCTTTATAATGCAGAACACAGATACAGCGCTCGTGCAGGTATTTTTATGATGTGATCCAGAATATACATTTGTAGCACCGAGATAAATTTGCCTTAGTCCAAAATAGATTTTGCCATCTGGATGTTAAGAGTCTGGAAGTCATGAGAAGTAGGCTAGCTGAAGGAACTGGGGCCTTATCCAGAGCCTGGGAACAAGGAGAGCTTCGCACAAACTGACTTCCATGCTGGCATGTTTAGAGGAGATTGGCTTTGTTCTGAAGCTTTCCAGGAGACAGGGCCAGGATCTTGGGGAAGCAGTTTCTAACACAGTGGAATACTGGAAATGAGGGAATATTCTCTTGAGAAAGTGAGAGTTTGGCTGAAAAATGCATTTAGGAAGAGGCTGTAGATAACCTATGGTCAGGACATGGAGAAGAGGGCAGTGATATAGGCTTTTATATTTATGGAATCCAGAAGGTTTGGTGACAAGGGATCATACAGGGGTGTGATAAAAGTGGTATTATGAACATGAACTGGTTCAACATGCTCCATGGCCTTTGGGACACTCAAATCCCTCTTGAAAAGTTGGGCTTGCACAGACTAATGTGGGTACAAAGTAATATCAATATCAATATCAGTAAATATCAGCAGTCATGGTGAATATTATCAGTCTTACTATAATTTTCAGAAGCAGCTGAGACATGCATAGATACAGGTTGGAGTTTGGAACATAAAGAACCTTATAAATGAGGAGTCTAGGGAGTTGAAACAAACATGAACATGCATGGTCCAAGCATTGCCAAACATTAAATGCTTACAATTCTTCTGGAAGCTGCGTTCTAGCCACTGTGTGATAATGAGAAGAACAAAGTCATATAGGCAAGGACAATCAGGAACATGATACCTGTGGTTCACTTGCTCTCTGCCGCTGTCCAGGCTGTTTTTCACAGACGTGGGTGTTCGCTGACCTCCTGTGATCACTTCTCCAACCTAAAATAAAAACATGACATGTGTAGAGTGGTGCATTTTTCCTTGGTATATGTGAATTTTAAAAAAAACTATAAAGCATCTGAATTTTTCTCTTACATATTCCATACAGGAATCTTAATTTAAGCCTCTTAAACACAATAGTCTTGCAAAGCCTCAGGCTATCGAAAGATTGCCAAAACCAAGCATGCAGATTTGGTGAATTAATTTATTTAACAAATGTATTTTATCTGAAAGCCAGCAACATGCCAGCCACTGAAGGGAAGTGTTCGGGATGGATGCTGACTTGAGAAGACTCTTCCTTCCCAATGAACATATGTTCCCAATGAACATATTGACAAAGAAAGCACCCTACCCTGGAGCTCTTCCTATTACAACTTAGACCTCTTGTTTCCATTTTGAAATTAGGAGGGGAACAGACTGTGCTCTCGAAGGTCTTTCTGGGTCTGAGAATTCTGTAATTCTATTACTTCCTTTACACTAGATAAGTTCAGTGCTAAGCATGTTGTGATTTTAATAAACAAAGCTGACTAATTCCATTCAGCAAACAAAGACTATTCAAAGGTGAAGAGAGGTCACCTAATTTGTGCCCTCAATAACTGTCCAAGCTCTCCCAGTGGAGCAGGAAGAGGGCACACTGGTCCATATCATAACCCAGCTGTGCAATAAGCCTAAACTTACCCTTATTATTTATGTTGCATGCTTTACCTATGACTCCCTCAGCCCCAAACATCATTCTGGAGACAGGGATTACTTGTAGGCAAAGGCATCTAAAACCCCTCTCATTGTGTTGCTTGGGTCTGGTGACCAGTTCAGGCTCATTTTTCTTTTCTATTCAAATGTCATGGAGGGATATCGTCCCTCATGCAGCCTCATCATTTCCTCCTCCTTGAGGGAGGAGGATTCATTCCTGAACACATCTGCACAGGCTGAACAGCCCTGGTTTTGAAAGTTGACATGTGATGTGGAATTTCCCTCTGTATGCTGTGAATACCATTGGTTAATAAAGAAACTTCTTTGGGCCTAAGGCAGAGCTATAGGGGAACAGAGCTAGGTGGCGAAAACTAAACTGAATGCTGGGAGAAAAAAGGTGGAGTCAGAGAGAAGCCATGGAGCCCCACCAGAGACAGATGCTGAAACTTTGCTGATAGGCCACAACCTCGTGGTGATGCACAGATGAATGGAGATAGGTAAAATTAATATGTAAAAGTTAGCAAATAAGAAGCTAGAGATAACGGGCCAAGCAATGATTTAAATAATATAGTTTCTGTGTGATTATTTTGGGAGTCTGGGTGGCCCGGAATAAACAAGTGGCTTTCCTCACTACAGACATGAACCTGCCATCCTCTTCTATCCTACCAGAGACTTGGTGTGTTACACAGCTGTGGCCCACAGTCCTACCATGAATTAAGGAAAATTCTTAGGCCTGGACTTACAGGATCATCTGCCGGCACAGCCAAGCATGCTGGACTCATATTTGCATTTGGGAAGGGAGTTGGTGGCCTAGGTTAGCAACAGCCCTAAGTTTGTCCACCTGAATGCATAACCAAACTCACACATAGGAAAATATCCTTTGCCATTTGACTAAGAAATTTGTTTTGCATACTCCACAGAGCTCAGAAGGGTGGGTCAGGCCCTGTTTAGGCTGTATCACTGCTCAGCTTCTCCCGCCTCCCACCCCTGGTACCTTCTCTCCCTTCTCAGGAGTTGATGCTTGGGAACTCCTTGATATTTTGCAATTCATCTACATCTTAGAATCTGCTTGAGGGGCACAGTGGCACCTTAGCATCTTTTTATTATTTAAATGCTTTAATCATTTTAAACAACATCATTGTGAGTTAAAATGCATTAAAATATCAGCCTTGTTGTGGGGGCAGTACACATTTTATATTGCTTCCCATTGTAAACACACTAACAAGAATGAGAACCTATGCATAATTAGAGCCTTAAAATGCCTACTTCTAACACTGTTATTTGTCACATATTAGGCACAAAGATTCTCTGTGTTTATGGAAATGCAAATAGAGTCGCAAATTTGGAACTTTTCTTCGCAGGGAATTTGCTGTGCAGCAGAATCTGAATGTGCTTCTTATTTTTAAAAGATATTTTCAGCACGGTTTGTTTTTAAGGGTCTTTTAATTTTGAAAGTTGCAGGGAATCAAAACATCAGCAGTGAGAAAAAATATGGGCATTGACATTCTTATAACACAGGAGTCTGTCATCACCAACACTCACAGCAAACACAGGGAGCCCCTGATAGGACCTAACTTGTTGGCGTGGAGGGATATAGGCTCAGAGTGCCAAGGTTTGGAAGTCGTGTCATTCGATTTCCCATGATCCTGCAGTTGGGGGCTGTGCTTCCTCTGGATAGCAATGATCATTATCAGTGTCTTATTCGTTGTCCCATGTATGTTTTAGGGATGACTAATGGAAAAGTTGTAAGGACCAAAATATGTTCAATAAATTAGATAATGTGAGACTAAGAGTTTCCTGAACCCGCAGAGAGAAATGTAATTAACTCCTCAAAAATTCAATTCTGGGACAGGCACAGAGATACAAATTAACATTTTAATGATGTTGCATTGTTTTAACCCTCGGAGGTTTGCTCTGGAAAGCTGGTACAGAATACAAACGCAGTGACAGGGCTCAATTGTTCACAGAAGACTCAAATCCTGCCTAAGGCTTTTCTGACCACTGACTTTCCCAACTTTGCTTGGCTAATAGCCTGAGGGGGGAGGGTCCTCATTACCTCCTGAGCCAGAAGCCTGCATTCGGAGGGTCTATATGGATATTAATAAAATGTATACGGTTGCATTGCTAACAGTAAATGGCACGCACTCTGAGACTGTGGCTGTAGAGCGGCTGCGAAAAAGAGCCTGAGCCCTTGATTCCCACTTTTTACAGTGAATCACGGGAACTGCCAATCTGACTCTTTCTGATGCTTAGGAGAGTAATTAAATATGGCTCAAATCAATATCTACTTATATGACTCTACAAAAATATGAGTGAATGATCACCATTTTAGTTGAAAGCTTGCTTGTAAATTAGAATAAAATAAAATATAATTAAAGATCTTTACTGAGAAAAGTATACAATCACCTGTGGTTGAACACACTGATAATGACCTCTGAGTCACCAATAGTGTGCCGGTGCTGCCTTAAGGAGAGAAATCGTAGCACTTCCCCTTGGTGTCATTAACCAAGTTCAAGCCCAAATTTGAATTCTCTACTATGTTTTCCCCTGTGTCTTCTGCCCTCCCTCACAAAGGGCTTTACTCTGTACTTATTGAACCTCACTGTTAGTCTTCTGCTGCCACTTTAAGAACTAACCACGCCCACCCAGCCACTTCTGACCTCCCCCTTCGCCATCTTTCTCTCTCTCTTGTGTGGTTGTCTCCTGTCGTGTGCACATGTTTCTCTCTGTCTCTGTGTCTTTATGTCTATATATTTGTCTATCTCTGTCTCTCTGGGTTTTTTTATTTCTTTTTAAGTAATAAATGTTTACCCTTATGTTTATTTACTATGTCTTGTGAGCCTTTTATCCGCCGTAACTGCCCACCTGACTCCCACGGCCGCATAGCGTTGCAGGGACTCACGGCCATCCTTGCCGGACTCCGCCAGCCCCCCGGGACATCCCATCATCATATTCTTTTTAAAAGAACAAAACTCACAAGGGAGGGAATGAGAGTTACTTTACAATTTTACTAGTGAACAAATCACTGACACTAACAGATTCCAACTGACCCAGATAACAAAAAGTATTATAAACATCATTGCTTATCAAACAACATCCAAATGTCTTCTTCCACATTTGTGGTGGATAGTCACGTTATGATTGTTTTCCACTTCTATTTTTGCTGTTTTCAGCAAGCGATTGTCAAACATGCCTGCATTACTCTGGGTCAAGAGCATAAAAGAGTACACAATTCGATATTATAACTATGTTTTAGCTTAGGTTGTAAAGTTGACTACTTGGGAAGTCCAAGGTAAGCATACTTGACTGTTACATTGTTCTCTAGAATGCAGGTTAAACACACAGGCTGAGTGTACCCAGCGCTAGTTTTAAACTTAAGTGACCTTAAGGTGTATTATTAACTCAGCTGTGAGGTTCAGCAAAATGCTAGCCTCTCAGAAAGTAAGAGATATATTTATCACAATGCATTGCCACACTTTACTGTTTCTTATAAATTTAGCTCTGCATCTTAAATATAATATGCATGAAAACCACAATAAATTCCTCTTGGAGACTTTGCTTTTCCCCCACCGTTTCAAATGTTACCTCCATTAGGTTTACTTCACTGAACCCCTACACTGGACTAAGCACGAGACCAAGGGACAGATTGAGAACAGATGATGGGAAACAACCTCTGGTCATTTCACAAGGGAAAAAGACACAACCAACTGGAACTCCTGGAGGCATGGAACTGACAGACAGATGTATGGCCAGACCTCAAGAAACTTATTAAAGACAATGGTATTTCATAATGGAAAGAACAAGCTTGAATTTTCCAGAAGACAGAAATGAGAATGTTCTGGGAAAAGAAGAAAAAAAAAAAGCAAGATCAACCGGATGGTGGTGGCACAAGACTTTAATCCTAGCACTCGGGAGGCAGAGGCAAGTGGATCTCTGTGAGTTCAAGGTCAGCCTGGTCTACAAGAGCTAGTTCCCAGGACAGATTCCAAAGCTACAGAGAAACCCTGTCTTGGAAAACAAAATACAAACAAAGCATGATCAAAGGCAGGAAAGTAAATGGACATGTAAAGCACACGTGGCTGCCCATCACACCTGGGGATAAGACTGCAGACCTGGGAAGCATGTGTGCTGTCTTCCTGTGAGGTGTTCAGGTTTCTCCCATGAGACCGTGGGAGCTTTGTGGTGCTTTACTTACTTGTTCCTGTCAGCTCATGAGGAATATTTAAGCTTGCTTCCTCATTCACTTAGGCCAAGTGTGTGGGAGCAACCACAACACCTGTAAATCCCCACAAATTTAATCTGCTTTATAA